GATGATCATTGTATTTAAGATGCTGTCCACACATACAAAAACCCCACACCCATGGGGAATAAGATGCAGTGGAATAGGGGTTATACGCAGCCTCAGGAGAAACACATTTCCTGAGCATCCATTTTGCTTAAAGATTTAGGGAGTTAAAAACAATAAAACAAAATTTTTTATATTAAACCCAACAACAATTTGAAATAAAATGATTCTTGGCATGCATTTTAAAATGAGACATCAACAAAATTTTGTTTTGTAATGGGCCACATAAGGCCATGTCCCCATGGAGGTTAGTGCTTCACCAAAGTTGAGATCTAGTTGAACACAGCATTTTACCATATGAAAGCTGCAAGAACACTGAAAGAACACATGATCCAATCTGCAGCTGAGAGGCAAGTGTGATGTTCTTTGTTTTTGATTTTTTGAGACAGTCTTGCTCTGTCACCCAGGCTGGAGTGCAGTGGCACAATCTCGGCTCACTGCAACCTCAGCCTCCTGAGTTCAAGCAATTCTCCTGCCTTAGTCTCCCAGGTAGCTGAGACTACAGGCATGCACCACTATGCCCAGCTAATTTTTGTATTTTCAGTAGAGACGGGATTTTACCATGTTGGCCAGGCTGGTCTTGAATTCCTGACCTCAGGTGATCCACCCACTTCAGCCTCCCAAAGTGCTGGGATTACAGGCATGAACCACTGTGTCCGGCCGGGTGTGCTGTTTTTAAACTTACATGAGATAACCACCTTGCCTAGGACACACAGCTGGTAACCTCTGTATATATTCGCAATTCTTCTAATCATGTAATCAGTGAACAGGATAAGTGGTCTGAAGAACTGCAATTTATAAACCTGCTTTTGGAGAAGGATCTTTCCAAGTGGGGAAACAGGCCCAGTCAATCTGACGCTTGAATTTAGTTCATTAGAATAAAAAATTATTAAGTAAACTTGCTTTCTGGTGTTTCTTGTACATACATACACCTGCCTTTTTTAGTTTATTTGAAAAATTTCAGCCCATCTTAAGCATAACGTGAAGAGAAATTGAGATTAAATTTGTAAGATTGCTTTGTTACTGTCTTCTCTCTTCCCACCTAGAGAAATTTCTGACAAAGTCCTCTGCTGTTAATTCTGCTTTCCCCAAGCCCCACCAAGAGTGTAGGGTTTGTTTGTTTTGTTTTGTTGCCATAAGCTATATAACCAGGGCAAGGGCAAGATACTTAACTCAGAGAGGCCCTTTTTTCTTTTATTTTTTTTTTTGAGATGGAGTTTCACTCTTGTTATCCAGGCTGGAGTGCAATGGTGCGATCTCGGCTCACCGCAACCTCCACCTCCTGGGTTCAAGCACTTCTCCTGCCTCAGCCTCCTGAGTAGCTGGGATTACAGGCACGCACCACCATGCCCAGCTAATTTTTTGTATTTTTAGTAGAGACGGGGTTTCACCATGTTGACCAGGATGGTCTCGATCTCTTGACCTCGTGATCCACCCGCCTCGGCCTCCCAAAGTGCTGGGATTACAGGCTTGAGCCACCGCGCCCGGCCGAGAGGCCCTTTTTTAATTTGAAAATTGAAGTAATGAAGTAGATCTCAACACCAAATTTCTATACATCTGTATAAAACACAATTTTACTGGAAGAATCATATTTATGTGTCACCTCTTACATACATTATATATTTTAATATCTTAAAAAGTAATTTTACCCCTAGATTTTATGAGCTGTTAAAAGATAAAATTTAGCAGCATTTTCTAATACACTTTTTAAAACACTAATACACTTTTCAAAAAGCTTAGGGGAAAATGTCAACAGCACACTCTTTTTCAAATAGATCTGCTCTTAGCAACTCAAGAGTAACAAAGGAGCTGTAATTACTTTTTCCCTCTTGTAAGAGTTGCTAGTACACAAAGCACAGTATGGCCAGTGGCCCAAGGGAGTGTTGGCAGCAATCTCCCTAGGCCCTAATATTTTTCTTTCTTAACTAAGCAATCAAGTGCTGGCATCATCCATTCTAGACAACTCTAAAACAGGTTAAATAGCTAAGTACTTGATCTGAGCAGCCTATAACCACAAAGCAATAGTCTTGTCTTAAACAATTTTAATCCTGAATGAGAAGGTTGGGCAGAAGGGGTCAATAAAGGAAAATGAGGTTAACAGATGACAAAACGATCAGGAGGGAGTAGGTATCAAGTGAGAAAGTTCCAAGATAGGAAATGTGACAAAAGTTGGACCAGAGTACTTTTCTGGGACTTTAATCTATGCTCTTTTCCCTCCCCTCCCCTCCTCATTACTCCCTCTTCTCAATGCCTCCCCCACCCACAATTCTCTATGCTAATTTTGGTGAGGTTCATGGAGAAAATGAGGCCAGTTTAGAGATTTCTGATATTCTTATTTGAATACCTGAAGCCAGTTCTACATGGGACTTTCTTAGTTACATAAACTAATTAATCCTTCTAGGGGGGTTGGTGGGGATAAAATAGTAGACTGGGTTTCCCTGGCAATTTAAACAGTTAGGTTATGGTTAATTACTCTAATAAAGCTAAATATGTAAATTTTTCTCTACTCGGAATTACAAGAACTTAGACTTTTAAGGTGAAAATCAAAATCATTTGTCACTCTAAGAACAATGTAGGCATGCTATTGCCTGGTTTGCTCTTAGAAAATCTGGCAATTCAAACCAGTTATTTTATGTTATACTCAAAGATTTAATATTTCCTTTCAAGAGAAATTCATGCAAAAGGTTATGAAATAATAACAAGAAAGGATATAGTGCATTTAAGACTGGGACAATTATGTGTTTTCTTAGAAACATAATCTCCCCCTCATATCATTCTTTTTATCTCCCAAGTTCCCATTTTACTGAATTCATGTTATGAAGTCCTTCTATACATGTGATGCATCTAGGATGAGTTGTGAATCTTCTGCATTCTGCTCTACGGCATGGTGGTACTTAGTGCAGACCAACGGATCCCAATCTTTTCTCGTACCAGGGACTGTTTTTGTGGAAGACAATTTTTCCATCAACAGACAGGGGGTTGAGGGGATGGTTTTGGGATGAAACTGTTTCACCTCAGATCATCAGGCATTAGGATTATGGGAAGGAGCACACAACCCAGATCCCTCGCAGGCGCAGTTCACAATAGGATTCAGGCTCCTATAAGAATCTAATGCCAGCCGGGCGTGGTGGCTCAAGTCTGTAATCCCAGCACTTTGGGAGGCCGAGGCGGGTGGATCACGAGGTCGAGAGATCGAGACCATCCTGGTCAACATGGTGAAACCCCGTCTCTACTAAAAATACAAAAAACATTAGCTGGGCATGGTGGCACGTGCCCGTAATCCCAGCTGCTCAGAAGGCTGAGGCAGGAGAATTGCTTGAACCCAGGAGGCGGAGATTGCGGTGAGCCGAGATCATGCCATTGCACTCCAGCCTGGGTAACAAGAGCGAAACTCCGTGTCAAAAAAAAAAAAAAAAAAAGAATCTAATGCCACCTCTGATCTGACTGGAGGAAGAGCTCAGGAGGTAATGCTTGCTAGCCTGCCACTCACCTCCTGGTGTGCGGTGGGGTTCCTAACAGGCCACAGACCACTACCAGTCCATGACCCAAAAATTAGGGACTTGCGTAGACCATAGACAGCATTATTTTGAAGCTTGTTTGAAATGGAAATTACCAGGCACCATTTCAGATCGACCAAATCAGAACTTTTAGGAATGGGATCCAGTTATTCTTAAGCACATGAAAAATTTAAAACCACCACTGTTTGTCTGCATGCTTTGTCTCTTTTTTATTTTGCTCATGCTTAACACAGGCAACAGAAGACAGTCTACTAGTTTTGATAGATCAGATGACTTTATAGCTTTCTACTGTATCTGACACCAGTTTGTATTTTTCTTCAAGACACAGTTTGGAGCTGGGCCTATCTCTTATTCTTTTTTTTTCTTTTTTTGAGACAGGGTCTTGCTGTCAGCTGCAGTGGTGCAATCTTGACTCACTGCAGCCTCAACCTCCTGGGCTTAAGCGATGTTCTCATCTCAGCCTCCCAAGTAGCTGAGCCTACAGTTGCATGCCACCATAGCCTGGCTACTTTTTAATTTTTCTTTAAGAGATAGAATTTCAGCTGGGCGCGGTGGCTCACGCCTGTAATCCCAGCACTTTGGGAGGCTGAGGCGGGTGGATCACGAGGTCAAGAGATCGAGACCATCCTGGTCAACATAGTGAAACCCCGTCTCTACTAAAAATACAAAAAATTAGCTGGGCATGGTGGCGCATGCCTATAATCCCAGCTACTCAGGAGGCTGAGGCAGGAGAATTGCCTGAACCCAGGAAGCGGAGGTTGTGGTGAGCCGAGATCGCGCCATTGCACTGCAGCCTGGGTAACAAGAGCGAAATTCCGTCTCAAAAAAAAAAAAAAAAAAAGAGAGATAGAATTTCACCATGTTGCCCAGGCTGGTCTTGAACTCCTGGGCTCAAGCAGTCCACCCATCATGGCCTCCCAGCCATGAGTCACTGCACCTGGCCTATGGATTTATTTGTTTCTATTTGCTTTTCTGAAGCCTAAGGAAAAAGGAGCCAGCTGACTTAAAAATATATATATCTGATCTTTGCTTTTTTCTGAGATTGTTAAATCATCTATACTAGTTAATACAGAGAGAACACTCATTTTGTTTCTCTCCAGATTTAAAGATGTTAGTGTGAATGTTTCAGGAATTCTGCAGGTTGGGGGTAAAGATGGACAGTGATGTAAACTGTTCCACTTTGCTCCACTCCAGCACAGAATACATCAGTTGACAGAGCTGTTGACAGTTCAGCAGCACTGAAGCACAAGTAGATCATAAGGCTTAGGAAGTAGTCTAAGGTCGAAGAATGTGATAAGACTTGCGTGCCAGACTTGACAGTGGGTAGTAAACACTGGTCGGGTTAAGAAGCCGTTAGAAGGTAATGACAATCACTTTTATAATGCAAAATTTTCTAAGTATGGTCACCATATGCTCTAGTGTACATTTAATTGCACAGAGTAGGAGTTCCTTTCAAATCAGCTTAATAAAAGTTTATTTTTGCAGTGCTACAGAGGTAAGTCCCCAAGCTTTACAATCCTCTTTTGTTTCTCTCAAAAAGATTTCTTAAAAAAAAGTCTTAAGAATACCACACCATGTTTAAAATCCTGTAAACTATTTTGGAAACCTAAATTAAATTCTGACAATGATAAAATGTTTCCCAGCCAATCAAAGTCCCAAACTAACATTCAAAGTAAGAAAGAATCATCATTGGGATCTCATTATATTTTGATAGCTGTAAAGGCTGATTGGCTCCTGTCATTAGTAGTATTAGTGCCATAAGCAAATTATACCACTTATATTCTAGAAAAAGAAGCATATTTGTCTTGCACATCTTACACACTGAGATATAAAGCCATGTTTTACCAACTTTTTTTTTAAATTAATGTACCAAATTTCTTCCACAATGGCAACTGTGGTTAAAAAAAAAAAAACCCATAGCATTAGCCAACCTGCTGGCATGTTCTATGGTCTTCTAATTAATAATAGTACACAGGCATTTATGAACTACACAGCCACAGTAATTTATGGGTAACTAATAAATTTTGAAACGTTGGGAATGTAACAAAACTACATTCTAAACAGTTTACTTTCCCTTTTTCCTTATATTATTTTTATATTCATTCACACCCATTTTTTCACTAGACTCTATTAAATTCAAGATTTAAATATGGCTAAGCATAAGACAAAAGAGATGAGTGTCAACAAAACAGCTGAATTTTATCAGTGTCTAAGCCACTTAAAGCTATTCTCCAAAAGACAACTTATTCAACCCAAGGCAAACATAGAGAAAGTTGGATTTGAATTCTCTATATTTTCAACTGTCAGGTTCACAGGAAAATCCAAGGCCCAAGTTTTGAATGTCCACATGTCATGAAGTTAATTGTGGCAACAGTGGAATGTCCATTACTGAAGATGAACCCCTAGACACACTTAGCAAGACATTCAACTTGCAGAAGGTAGGGAGTTGGGAGTGGTACACAATTTGATAACAAGGTTTTTAAGCTCCAGTCAAAGATAAAACAATGTTATGCCTGAATAACAATCTCTAAGAAACTTGAATAACAATCTTTAAGGACTCTTGTCACTATATGAAGAACTCAGGTTAATGGTTCCACATTCTTAATTAAAAGGAGAGCCATTTAATCAATTTTCTGCAGTGAATTATTAGACTAACTTCCTAGCATCTGGAGATTACACTATGTTCCACCTTGAAGCTGTAACAATCAGGACCATTACCTGACATGCATTCAACAAATATTCAAACAAAGTATAAGGTTAATTGTTATAGAAAGTTAGGTTTTTCTAACACCTAAGTGTTAGGTGGACTCAATGTTGAACCTTTTTGAGTGCCAACATGACACTAAGGAAACACTCATTAGAACATTTCAGATTTCAGATTTGGGATGCTCAACTGTTACATATAATGCAAATATTCCAAACTTCAAAAAAAGATAAAATATGAAATCTGAAACACTTCTTGTCCCAAGCATTTTTGGAAAAGGGATACTCAACCTGTACCTCATTACTTTTCCCTAAATCACTTTTGGCTCTACCACTTATAATCGTATATGGAAGCTGAAGTATGTTATGATTTGTGTTACAAGACTATTTTTCTACATTCTGGCTCTATTTCTGCTAAATTATTCTTACTGCCTTTATCAATTTAAGTTTAAAAAAAAAAACTACCTTTTTAGAACTCTGAAACGGTATTTAAAAATTACATTTAAAAATTTTTAAGTTTTGTTCATCATATACAATAAAATTTTGATATATGGTATTAAACAAATTATTAGTCAGGTAATTTCTGTTCACCTAATATCAATGTTGTAAAGAGGTTCAAGTGAACGTTCTTCTGAGGGATGAGTTTCAATGATCCTAAAGATGGTAAGAGCCTATTATTTGCATGTGAATCTAAAGTTAATCTTATAAAATTATCCATAAATCAAAAACAAAAGTTTCAGCAGACAATCGTTAAATATAATGTTAACAGGTACACTGAGCAATAAATTGAAACTTTTAACTTTAACTCATATCTGCTTAGTTTTTTTATTTAGTTAAGTATAAAGGCCCAGTTAATCAACTCATTAGATTGGTCAAGGCATGACACTTGAACTACACAAGAGAATTTAAAAAGCAGTTGGATTTTTTAGTAGTTCTCTGGTAATCACACACACATACACACATACACAAAAATTTGTATAGTACTCTGAAATAGGATTTCCCCAATAATCTTGCATAATGTACTGTTCACAATCTGCTGTATTTTGTAAACTATATAAACTGGACATGGCCAAATTAGAGACGTCTGATAAACTCTTATAAAGTATCTGGGAACTTCAGCTGGATGCCCAAGGATCAATTTTAAACTATAAAAAACAAATATTCACATAAAAGCACAACAATTTAACAGACATCTTTGAGAAAAAAAAATCAAATCATAACTCAATTTTCTACTTTTTCAAATACAACTAAGAAAAAAGTTGTAAGAAGTAATATCTACCTTAACAAAAACACATTAACTGGGTGAATTTGGAGGGGGAAAAAAAGCTATACAGCATTATTGCACTCCACGAATGTGCAGAATTCCAAAATATGCCAGCACTGAAAAACTATCCTGCATTGAGGTTTTCCAAGAGGTACAACGAGCCTGCCAAGAAAGCATCTAGTCTGTACTAACAGCTTGCTGTCTTCAGTACAGACCTTCATAATGTCAGTCACGCTGCTCTTGCAAAAATCCCTTAATGCCTGAAAGATATACAGAAAAAAGAGTATTTTATTTCAAAAATCACTCATAAAAACCCTTCAGAAAGTCAATTCATTGATCAGAAAGGAACTGAGAACAACTCTGCCAAGCAAAAGTTAACTAATACCTCTCTGTGTTCACACATTTGCCTACAAATTTTTGTTATCATGAGTGTGTTCAAAGAATTTGCATACTCTCAGGAACTAATTATTTGAAGGTAAGGATAGGATAAGTATACACACCTCTAGCATAATAGATCAACTCTGGCCATTAGGAATTTAGGGTAAAGAAAATAAGGTTACAGATCCAATTATTAAGCCTTGAAGGTAAAACTACTAACAATCTGACTTTATTTTGGCAGGTCCAAACTCTCTTCATACACTTCAACATTTTAATGAAGAACACATCCCTCTGTTTAATCTTAAATTGGAAACTCAAGTGATAATATATGTATTATTTACTAACTTGCTGATTCATAAGGATTAACAGAAACCTATACATAGTAATATTTTAAACAACTTACAAAAGAGTTTTCAGTGCTGATAGGTGGTGCTATGATCGATGGTGTGGGATTGAATCCATATGCACATTGAGCTTCATTTCATTGTCAAGAATTTGAACAAGTTGTTGCATGGATGGAAGGTGACCAGATTCCAGCTTAGACCATACAGGTACATCTATAAAAATAAATGGCACCACCACCCAAAAAATTAAGGATTATTTTATAATATGCATTCATTCCATAAATACTTATCGTCTATGTACAGAACTGGGGATACAAAAGTGAGAAAAAAGTACACTGCTTGCTCTTAGGGAATTTACATTCTAGTAGGCGGAATGTCAAAAGTAGTACACAAACAGCTACAAAATTACAATTGTGTACTTAGAATTAAAAGTGGAGGCCAGGTGCGGTGGCTCAAGCCTGCAATCCCAGCACTTTGGGAGGCCGAGGCGGGTGGATCATGAGGTCAAGAGATCGAGATCATCATGGTCAACATGGTGAAACCCCATCTCTACTAAAAATACAAAAAATGAGCTGGGCACGGTGGCGCGTGCCTGTAATCCCAGCTACTCAGGAGGCTGAGGCAGGAGAATTGCCTGAACCCAGGAGGCGGAGGTTGCAGTGAGCCGAGATTGTGCCATTGCACTCCAGCCTGGGTAACAAGAGCAAAACTCCATGTCAAAAAAAAAAAAAAAAAAAAAAAAAGGAATTAAAAGTGGAAGGCACTGCTGTACTAGGAGGGACATAGAAACACAAGGCTGTCCCTAACTAGTCAGAGAAATAATATTATTTAAACTGAGACCTAAAAGAAAAAATTACCATAACAGAGTAGGGATTCATTTGAATAGAAAACTTTTGAGGGAGAGAGAATAGAAATGTAAAGGCCAGAAAGGAGCTAGGCATATGAAAAGTAAGAGAAAATCAGCATAGCTGAAAGAAATATAGAAGAGAAATGATATAAGGGAGGGTGGGAAGGTAGAAAGGATTAGACTGGGGCTAACAAACTGTAAAGGGACAGAAAGTAAACATTTTGGGCTGGGGATGATAACCAGTCTCTGCCACAGCCATTCAGCGCTTGCGGCCTGAACGCAGCTGTAGGCAATATATAAACAAATGGACATGGTTGCATTCTAATAATGCTTTATTTACGAAACAAGCAGCAGAGGATATGGTTCATAGGACCATAGCTTTACAATCACTAAACTAGATCATGCAGAGCCTTTTGGCCACATTAAATGTTCTGGTCTTTATCTTGAGAGCAAAGTAATGTCATTTAACGAATTGGAAACACTCGTTTAAATGCAAGATAAAATTTGCATTTAAAAGCTATTGTTTAGAGCAGATATTGTTAAGTTTTTCTGTAAGAAGGCAGATGGTAAATATTTCACACTTTATGAACCAAGAGACAATAATCAAGAACATTATGTGCGTACTTATAAATTTCTATGAAGTTTGCATTGATGCAACTCAAAACTTTAGTTATAAATACAGAAGTTTGAATTTCATATAATTTCCATGTGTAACAAAATATTAGTTTTATTTTTTTAACCAAAAAGTGTCAAAAACATTGTTAGCTCACAGGCCATATTTGCCAACCCCTGGTTTAGAGAATGTAAAAGAGAGTAACAAGTTAATTGTGGCCTGGACTAGGGTGGTGGCAGTGAAGATGAACAGAAGGTAGATTTTTGAAAAATTTAGGAGATTGAGTTGAGAAGACTTGGTAATCCATTAAATATGGAGACTGGGGAGATGGTGATGTTATCATAGGTCTCTGGGCAACTGAGTAGACAAATGATGGTGTCAAAATAAATGAGAAATGTCAAAGGGGGAGCAAAAGAGTGTACAGGCATTATCAGTAGGAAAAGTAAGCAAGAGTTTATTTTAGAGTAGGTTTAAGATTCTTGAGCACAGCATTTTAGGAGAGAGATTAAGAGATACACATTCAGGGATCATCATACAGATGTTATTTTAAAACCATGGAAGTAGATAAGGTTCACAGAGACAATCTGACCCAAGAAGAGGACCAACTCGTCAAGGAATTCTAAAATGTGAAGTTCATGTAGAGGTAAAGAGATTAAGTTGAGGGAGCAAGTTAAAAAAATTAAGTTAAAATTTTCTAAATTCTTCTCTCTCCTAAATTTTCAATTTCTTTCAAATAAGTTTCATATAAACACTAAAGAAGTTTCTCTCATTATAAAAAATTAAAAAGCTTGAAGTTCATTATAAATCATTTAAAATCTATCACAAAATGCAAACTATTCAGAACCTACCATTTAAAGTTATCTCAAATGCACCTGTTGACATACACTGGTTCTCAATCATGTTGCTCAAGAAGAAAACCATCATACATGCATAGACCTAAAAGAAAATATAATTAAGTACAGCAGGCAAAGTCACTTTTGGTAAACGCTCTTTTTAATCTACTTAAAAAGTTCCCATAAAAACTATTACTGCTATTTCATATATTCAGATAACGTAAACAGAGCAAAAGTAAAGCAGTATTGATTTGCAACTCTATACACACTGAAGCATTTAATAGATGATATTCATAATGTACACAGAATTTCTAAGAGATTTCATAATAGCCTTAATAAGTTAAACAAAAGAATACATGCATAAGAAGAGTTAACTTTACCATTTTTATAATATATCAACTGTAATCCCAACACTTTGGGAGGCCAAAGTGGGTGGATCACAAGGTCAGGAGATCAAGACCATCCTGGCTAACACGGTGAAACCCCATCTCTACTAAAAATACAAAAAATTAGCCAGGCATGGTGGTACGTGTCTGTAGTCCCAGCAACTCGGGAGGCTGAGGCCAGAGAACTGTTTGAACCTGGGAGGCGGAGGTCGCAGTGAGTCGAGATCATGCCACTGCACTCCAGCCTGGGCCACAGAGCAAGACTCCATCTCAAATATATATATATAGATATACATACATACATACATATAAATTCATAAGAGACTTGTGATGCAAAATTAGCAACTCCATATAATATTCAATACAAACTGCATATGTTTCAAACAAACCATTTTAAGTCAAACTAAGAAAGAAGTAGGTTAGAAAGCACTGGCATATTAGGCCGGGCGCGGTGGCTCAAGCCTGTAATCCCAGCACTTTGGGAGGCCGAGGCGGGTGGATCACGAGATCGAGAGATCGAGACCATCCTGGTCAACATGGTGAAACCCCGTCTCTACTAAAAATACAAAAAATTAGCTAGGCGTGGTGGCGCGTGCCTGTAATCCCAGCTACTTAGGAGGCTGAGGCAGGAGAACTGCCTGAGCCCAGGAGGCGGAGGTTGCGGTGAGCCGAGATCGTGCCATTGCACTCCAGCCTGGGTAACAAGAGCGAAACTCTGTCTCAAAAAAAAAAAAAAAAGAAAGCACTGGCATATTAAAGTATAATCATTCACCTTTCAAAGCAAATCTATACTCTTTCCCAAAAGTGACTAGGTATTCCTTATTGGACAGAAAAGTTTTAATTTAACAAAACCACTGGACTAAGAGTAGGATGCAGTGAGAATGCCAATTCACAGCAAGCTGTTTCAGAAAAATAAATCAAACGTTCACAGCAGCCGAAAAAGAGCTTTCCCTACTAACCCACAGGAGCTAGGTGGGGTTTGTTTTTATAGGAATTAACTCTACCATTTGAGAATGTTAAGTCTATTTTCCTGGGAACAATACACAAGGAAATGTCATAAAACCTACAAGGTAGAGATATATTTCAATTAGAGATAGCACTTGAAGATATTTATGTTAAGTAGTTTTGCCTGTTACTGGAAAGAAATGGTTCCCTAAGAAAAAGAAGTACAGCTATGCAGGAGTCTGCTAAAGGTATTTGGCCTAGAATTAAAATATAAGAAAAATCTAATCCATGAGAAAAATACAAGTTAGACCCATTTTAGACAGGATGGTGAGCCCTCAAGAAAAAAAAATGATTTTAACTTAAATAAGAGTAATCTAGAAAGAATGTATATAGCAACAAGACCCTACAAAAACAAAGGAAAAGAGAAACAGCACAAAGTTCTTGAGTATATTTAAATTGTTTCTTTCAGGCAATTAAAACAGATCCATGAACAGAAGAGGCAAAGGACAAAGAATTTGAAAAGAGAGGAGTTTTGATAAGCACAAGTTAATGGAAATCCCCTTTTTAAGGTGAATCAACCCACTAATACCTCATTAGTTGGTATAAAAGGCCCACATTATGTATATATTATGTTTTGCTGGATATGAATTGACCTAAGTAATATAATCAAAATCAGATAACAAATTATTTTCTGCCCTGGTAATACTAAAGTAATACCTACATATCCTCTCAAAATAAAAAGGTTAAGCCCTAATCACTCATAATATATCAATATGGAAACAAAGGTCAAGGGAGGTTAAGTGACTTGCCCAGAGATAAAACTGGTACAAATCAATATAATACATGTTAACAGGTGAATCAATAACAAGTATTCAAAATAAGAAAATCCATTAGAATACTTCATTGACAACCTAAAAACCTAGTTACCAAAGCTATTAAGTTACATACCTTATTTTCTTGGCCCCACTGCCAGATGCTAGGAGCTTGCATGCCAAAGAAAGCAAAAGGATCCTTGCCAACAATTATTAAGCCTATTAATACTAGTTTGAAGACTGACAGGAAAGATGCTATGTGTCTATCAAAAGAAAAGAAAAAAAAATCATCAGAAGCCACAATTTCTAATCTACTTTAAAATTTAGTAATTCAAGTGTATGCAAAGACTTTTCTAGACACCAAATCTAAGTTACTTATAGAAAAAGCAATTAAAGTTTATTGTGCCGTTTTAAAACAAAAATATTTAATATATTTAAAATCAACAAAAATTAAACTACAAAATTATATAGAATTGGTCTTTTAAAACACTATTATTTTATGAAACACAATTTAATACCATTGACGTTCTATAAAAATTGAGGATTGCTATTCTATTTCTACAATTAAAAATATGTAAGAAAACACATCTTTAGAAGAGCTGCCATCTCTGAAATGACCCTATTCCTTCTTACAGTAAAAGCCTTCTATATTTGAGAAAAATAAACTTGTTAATATATAAAATAGCATTCTCTGTATATTAGAACCAACTAAGTAATTACAGTAACTAAGGGCAGCTAATTAAACCAATTCACAAACATTTAAAAAGTCAAATAAATTCTTTTCAAGTTATTAAAATTTCTTACCTATATATTGGTTGAGGGAGGTAATTCTCTCCTTCTATGCGGATGTCTGGGTACCGCTGGCTAATAACCCGCATGTACTCCTCAAATACCCGCCTATAACCTCAGGAAACACTGCAGAAAAATAAGTGTTTCCATTAAGTCACTTATAATACACCTAGATTTATTTTGCAGTTAGATGAAGCCTAAAAATTATCAACATTACAAATTTTTCTCAAAATCAGTCACAAATTAATAATTGAATCAGGATGATAAATACATGGAGGTTTTTAAAAATGTATTTCACATATTTCAGTTACTGCACCCTCAAATGAATCCTTCCATTAAAACATTAAACTTTGTATTTGCCAATATGTGGCCTAATTTTTTTTATGTTAAAAAAAGAAGAACATGAAACTTTACAGATTTCGGTTACTACTGTTGGACAACAGCAAACACCTATTGAGCATATTTTGAGTTCTCACACAGATTTGGCCTTTTTGGAGGAGTATCAATTACTTGTATAAACAGTGAAATGAAATGAAAACAATTCTTATCCATCTGAATTAGAGACTTTCAAATTTAGGACACACGACTTAAAAAAAAAAAAAAAAATCAAAGCATAAGAGAACGAAACTCTGGTTCTTATTCCCATTCTGCTCTTAACTAGGCAAACTTGTTTGCCCAAACACAACAAAAGGAACTTCGACTAAACTCTTAGATCCCTTCTAACTCTAAAATTTGATTCTACTTTGCAAAGGAAAACAAAGATTAGGAACATAATTTTCAACAATATGGACAGATAATCCTTTCATTACTCTGGAGATTAAGCTAAGCCAACAGTATCCAATAATCTCTATTAAAGTCTCTAAGCAACTCACTTTCAGATATACATTGCCCCAGCCAAAAAAAAAAAAAAAAAAGAAAGACGCCCCCAGAGTGCACATGAGAAAAAAGAAGATGGTACCATTATATCAACAGAAGAGCTTACAAATTCAGGTAATATTGTTAAACACTAAAGTTCACTAAATTCTAAGTTAAGATAAATATTGTAAGCTTCCACTTGGTACAGAGGTAGCAGGCTCAGTAATTAAAGTTACAGTAAAACCTGAGGTGCCAGCTTTGTCAATCAAGGAAGAAACTGGTAACCACCACTACCAACCCAGAGGAACAGCATGGACAGGGTAAAATTATCTGACAGGGTAAAACTGTAAAATTAGTAGATCTCAATTTAAGAAAACATGCAAGGTTTTTTTTGGGGGGGTGGGGCAGAAAGTGAGAAACTTAGCAGTCTTGCTTTACAGTGAATATTTCCTTTACATTTAGAATGAATGCCCCTTACAAGTCTAAATATTTTGCAAAGAGATACAAATCTCTATATTTAAATGAATTTATGAATCTCCAAATATTATCCTTAACATTCACCTAATGTTTTATTATTACCAATGTTGTAATTTTTATTCTTTCTAACCACATGTTGGGCTTTTCTGAGTTCAAATTACTAATATAATTTCAAATTTACAGAAAAGTTACAATAGTATAAAGATCTTCCATAAACCACCTAGATTCACCACCTATTAATATTCTGCCACAGGCCGGGCCTGTAATCCCAGCACTTTGGGAGACCAAGCCAGGCGGATCACCTAAGTTTGGGTGTTCAAGACCAGCCTGGCCAAGATGATGAAACCCCGTCTCTTAAAAAAAAAAAAAGGGCCGGGCGCGGTGGCTCAAGCCTGTAATCCCAGCACTTTGGGAGGCCGAGGTGGGTGGATCACGAGGTCAAGAGATCGAGACCATCCTGGTCAACATGGTGAAACCCCGTCTCTACTAAAATACAAAAATTAGCTGGGCATGGTGGCGCGTGCCTGTAATCCCAGCTACTCAGGAGGCTGAGGCAGGAGAATTGCCTGAACCCAGGAGCCGGAAGTTGCGGTGAGCAGAGATCGTGCCACTGCACTCCAGCCTGGGTAACAAAAGCGAAACTCCGTCTCAAAAAAAAAAAAAAAAAAAAAAAAATCTGCCATAATTGCTTTCTCTGTAAGAAATTTTATAAATCTTTCTTTACACCAAAAAGCAAAGGAAAATATTTAAAAAGTTTAATATTGCTTTTGTTTTATAGAAATAATCTAGATAACCTATAATCCTATCTTTTTTTTTAAGATAGGCCTAATCCTATCTTAAAATCAAGAAATGCTACCTGATATCAATGCCCAAGTTTACACTGGTGTTTACAATGGAGTTGATTATCTAAAATAATTGTATCTAACTTTTAATGTTTTAATGTTTTAATGTTAATCCTATCTTTTTTTTTAAGATAGGCCTAATCCTATCTTAAAATCAAGAAATGCTACCTGATATCAATGCCCAAGTTTACACTGGTGTTTACAATGGAGTTGATTATCTAAAATAATTGTATCTAACTTTTAATGCAGTAATTTGAGAACTAGAGACTTGGTTAATTTAGTCAAAATATGTTACTTTTATAGATGAAGAGGGAAAAAACGAAATCCAGAGAGATCAAGTGACTTTTCCGAAGTTATGCATCCAATGTACTATTTCACTCACTCAAATACTTACTGAATGTCTATTACATGGCAAGCACTATATTAGGCAGTGAGTATTTAGTGGTGGGTAAAACAGACACCGTCCGGTGCCAGGGCTGGGACCAGAACATAGTCTTTGTGATTTGGGGTCCTAGGCCCTTTCCACTAGAACCCAAATTCAATAATTAGATTAGATGATTCAAGAGCTACCCTTACTATGTCCAGAAAGTAAGTTCCCTTTGTCCATAATGCCATCATCAGGTACCCCATACAATTGGCCTCCTGGTTCTTCCATGATGAAGATATAGAGATTCTTCTGCGAGGACCAAGTTTGTGAGCCCCAAGAAGTCCCTTAAGGGTAAGAGACTCAACTAGAGATGTGCATATGCGGAGGCTGAACTATCAGTCAGATTCCCCCAGTCACCCACTTCTCTGGCTACTGTGTTTAGAAGCATAAATCTACTTCACTCATCTGGCCCTAAATCTTCAATTAAATCTTAGAACTTTGTGTGAAACTCCAAATAGAATTAGTTAATAATCTTAGATTCCAAAAAAGACTTTAAAACTGAACTTTTCTTACTTCTGAAAAATAAAGTGGTTTATAAGACAGCCACAACATACTTTTAGACAAGTTTACTTATGCATATTCCTCCTTGTATTTGCCTCCAGACTTGTGAAGAAAAACCAAGAAACTTTTTTCCTATATCATTGCTTTTCCTAAAATAATTTTTCTGTCATGAAGCAGCAATCATCACTATCAACAGATGTTTTCCAAAATGTAGTAATACACAAAATGTAACATATCAAGGTGAACAAATGTTAAAGGCATACAAGGTAAAGAGCTAGTAACCATCAACCTCTACCACCTCACCCAGTTCTTTCAAATTATTCCACTCTTTCTGGGTCAGTGAGTAAAACTGCCTCTCTCAGTACACCTCCAAATAAATATATGAACATACTAAAATTGTTGCACCATTTTTAGTATGATGTCTATCCTTCTGCCCCTGGACTAAATGTCTTTAGGAATTAAACCAAACTCCTAAAAAGATAATCTTAAGTCCTATTACTTTGCAAATCCCTTTCTAGTAATACAGAGATATGCTACTCTACGGAGTCAATTGTTGCTCTTTTAACAAGAGCTAATTAAATTACTTCAAGATGTAGGTAAGTCACCATTTATTAAACACTTTCATCAAGTCACTTTTATTGAGTGGCTAATACAATATAAATCTGTTAATAAAAATACTTCCCAGAGTAAAGAGATAAAATTGTTTCCCCAGGAAGAATATTTCTTGGGTGGATGCAGTGGGTTAACCCTGTAACTCTAGCACTTTGGGAGGCCCAGGCAGGTGGATCACTTAAGCCCAGGAGCTTGAGACCAGCCAGGGCAATATGGTGAAACCCCATCTCTACAAAAATTCGCCAGGAATAGTGACAGGCACCTTAGTCCCAGATACTGAAAAGGCTGAGATGGGAGAATCACTTGAGCCTAGGAGGTGGAGGTTGCAGTGAGCCCAAATTGCGCTACTGCACTCCAGCCTGGGCAACAGAGTGAGACCCTGTCTCAAATAAATACAGTCAAAAGCATTTAAAAAAAAAAAGAAAAGAAAAGAAAAAATATTTCCTGAAATGTTATGCCAAAAGTATAGAAAGACCAAAAAGTAGGGACCACAAGAATAACACACACACAAAATGAAGAGAATAGAAACAAATTAATTGAATTTTGGGTTTATCAAATCATAAATAGTATAAGAGTAATACAACATTAGTGAATCACTTTAGGGAGAAAAACATGGAGATGAAATAATGAAGGTAAGAATTAAGCAGAAATTTTAAAATATCAATTAATGTCAAAAGAATGTTAAATATGGAGTGAATTGTTTTTGAGATAGGGTCTCACACTGTTGCCAAGGCTGGAGGGCAATGGCACAATCACATCTCACTGCAGCCTCAAACTCCTGAGCTCAAGCAATCCTTCCACCTCAGCCTCCTCAGTAGCTGGCACTACAGGCATGTGCCACTATGGCCAGCTGTTTTTTAATTTTTTGTACAGATGAGCTCTCACTATGTTGCCCACGGTGGATTCAAACTCCTGGCCTCAAGTGATCCTCCTGAATTTGTTTAAAAAAAAATTTTTTAAGTATTTCCATAATTACTAAATAAGAGAAAAGATTTAAGACTAGTTATAAGAAACACAGGTTGGAGAGAGATGAGAGGAAAAACAGGAACACAGACTGAGTGAAACAAACGCAGTTTGAATATAATATTCCTTACATATCCAGCCTGCTTCTCTCCTAACAGTCCACCAACTCAGCTCCATTATTTGCTTTTTCTATTACAACTGAACTTACCACCACATGCCCAGAGTTGCCTTACAACTATTATAATAACTGGTATGCTGCTTTCCACCTATCCTTCCTCCAATCAATTCAACTGCCTGAGTATAGATTCCATCACAGCATTCACCTGTGTAAAAATATTTCTCCCTTCGGCTGGGTGCAGTGGCTCACGCCTGTAATCCCAACACTTTGGGAGGCTGAGGCTGGTGTACTGCTTGAGCTCAGGAGTTTGAAACCAGCCTGGGTAACATGG